TTTTATAAAGAAGAGCCCCCTGTAATCTCAAAAAGAAATTCCTAGGTCTTCATCTCAGCTCTTGACTACCACAACCACAGCTGAGCACCTCTCTGCAGCTTGGCTGGCCTGTTATCCCAGACCCATGAACCACGGGGTGTCGATCCCGCATCCCCACCACATCCCCACTCTCCAGGCAGGTGAGCGGCCTGCGGGAAGCACCACTTGGACCCAGAACTCGTTGGATCAAGGAGCTTCCTAACTCCAGAGACCAGCGGGAGTCCTCAAGCTTGTCCACCACAGTTTAACTTTCATCGCATCTCATTTACTTTGGGCTTCTGCCGAGTGGAAAGGGACTCAAAAGGAGCTGAGCTCTGGGATGAGATGTCTTAGGGAAGCTGCACCAACTTCACCGCAGCCAACTCTTGTCCCTCTGACATCAGCGGACTTTTACCATGAGTTTATATTGCAGCTTGCCATTAACAGCAGCACGAATTTGGGACGGTTTTTTGGCTCAATCCCCTACACCGGCTCTAACAACGCTCACTTTCTCTTTCAGCTGTCCCGGTGACGATGTGTCCATGATCCCTCTGTGCCGTGTTCACAGTTTTGCTGGACACAGCAGTGAATCACGCACCGCCGTCACCAGCTCCATGGGGGATTTCTGAGCAAGTGCAGCTCCATCTCACACCCTGCCCCTACAAAGACTTGCGCAGGAGTGGCACTGTCAGCATTTAGCCCTAATTTGCAGCATTATGGCCCTGTAGTGAACACAGGGAAGTGTCTTTAAAAGGAGACTGCTTTCTAATTGCTTCTTAAAAAAGCCTTTAACATGGACTCTCTTTGGCATGACTCAAGGCTGCATTTCTAAATTCAGTTTCTCCCATGAAGTTTACTCTGGCTGTTTGGTTGGGTTGCATCCACATGCTATTTTTATTTTTTTTGATCACCAAGCCTGTTTACAGCATAGAGGAACAATATGGGAACAGAAATAAAGCTGGGACAGGCCCAAAGGAATGAGACCATTAATGGTATTGCCAGCATCCCTGGCTTGAAGAGCAAGAGGCCCTGCAGCTGTGCAGTGCCTCGGTGAGACTCAGTTCGCTGCTCCCTTCTGGTTATGTGTTTCAAACCTTGGTTGTGTTCAATTTACCCATCATCTGCAAACTTAATACCAAACAGAATGCCTGCATGTCCTGAAGCTGCCAGTGCCATATCTGCGGTACCTTATATTTTTATTATATTTTATTTATAATATTTTCTCAGATAGGAAGGCCAAGGGACTGCCTGTCACAACAACATCACTTTTGGCTTCCTTAAATACAGTAATCAAAGTATTTTGAACAGTAGCCTACCGCTACTGAATACTTTTCTGTCTCAAAATAGACACAAGCCTCCTCCCACCTTCTGCCACGAGCTGCTTGGTCACTCTGAGGTTTTGGTGGTTCAGCCCCGTTCCCTTTGCCACAGGCAGCGAGCACAGCCCATCTGGTTGCTGAGCCTTTGATCCAAGTGCTACCAGCTTATGCTGTGAAGCACGGAGTCAAAAGGACACGAAATGTTAGCGGGAAAGCCTTGAAAAAGGAAATATTTTCTATATTTGCATTTACATTTTTAATATAGTCGTGTTGTCTAGAGGCCAGATTTGGAATGGAAACCAGGAGCCTGGTTTCTATTTTCAGCGCAGCCGCTGATTGCTCTGTGTTGCTGGCAAATCTTTTAATCTCTTTCTCTCTGTTTTTCCCCTCTGTAATAAAGGGATGATCAGACCTCCCCAGCTATGCCTTGTGTGGCAGCATCCTCTGATGAAACACGGCAAGGACGAAGTATTAATAATCATTCCATACAGAAAAGCCAAGGGGTCGCAGGTATTTAAGTACAGTTTAGTTATTCAGTGCTCCTTCATGCATGCACCATGCCTTGATGTTAATAGAAGTTATATATTAATATGGAATGGAAAAGTAGGCCCTTCAGGGCAAAAAAACCCCATAACCAGAGCACCACTGAATAAATACAATATAAAGATGAAATCACTCCAAATACTGAACAAATTGAAAGGCAAGGAGATATTAAAGAGGAGAAACAAAGTCACCCAGCCCTCCTCCCAGCTGGCATCTAAGGGTGGCCTCAGTGCAAAAACGTGGATGAAGGTTGTGTTCAATTTACCCATCATCTGCAAACTTAATACCAAACAGAATGCCTGCATGTCCTGAAGCTGCCAGTGCCATATCTGCGGTACCTTATATTTTTATTATATTTTATTTATAATATTTTCTCAGATAGGAAGGCCAAGGGACTGCCTGTCACAACAACATCACTTTTGGCTTCCTTAAATACAGTAATCAAAGTATTTTGAACAGTAGCCTACCGCTACTGAATACTTTTCTGTCTCAAAATAGACACAAGCCTCCTCCCACCTTCTGCCACGAGCTGCTTGGTCACTCTGAGGTTTTGGTGGTTCAGCCCCGTTCCCTTTGCCACAGGCAGCGAGCACAGCCCATCTGGTTGCTGAGCCTTTGATCCAAGTGCTACCAGCTTATGCTGTGAAGCACGGAGTCAAAAGGACACGAAATGTTAGCGGGAAAGCCTTGAAAAAGGAAATATTTTCTATATTTGCATTTACATTTTTAATATAGTCGTGTTGTCTAGAGGCCAGATTTGGAATGGAAACCAGGAGCCTGGTTTCTATTTTCAGCGCAGCCGCTGATTGCTCTGTGTTGCTGGCAAATCTTTTAATCTCTTTCTCTCTGTTTTTCCCCTCTGTAATAAAGGGATGATCAGACCTCCCCAGCTATGCCTTGTGTGGCAGCATCCTCTGATGAAACACGGCAAGGACGAAGTATTAATAATCATTCCATACAGAAAAGCCAAGGGGTCGCAGGTATTTAAGTACAGTTTAGTTATTCAGTGCTCCTTCATGCATGCACCATGCCTTGATGTTAATAGAAGTTATATATTAATATGGAATGGAAAAGTAGGCCCTTCAGGGCAAAAAAACCCCATAACCAGAGCACCACTGAATAAATACAATATAAAGATGAAATCACTCCAAATACTGAACAAATTGAAAGGCAAGGAGATATTAAAGAGGAGAAACAAAGTCACCCAGCCCTCCTCCCAGCTGGCATCTAAGGGTGGCCTCAGTGCAAAAACGTGGATGAAAAGGAGTGCCAGGTACCAAGAAGGGACACAAGTGGGCCCATAAATGGGTGTTCCCAGTCCTCCATTTTTTTACCCCTCTGGCTTCTTCCTGAGGATGTGTCAAGGAGGTGGGTAAAGGACTGAGCTCCCTAACTGAGCAGATGCTTTGCTGTATCACAGTTGCACATGGAATCAACCCTATAAATTATCCTATCGGTCCCTGCCTGCATCCTCCAGGTCTGCCACATCGCCACTCCTCCTTGCCTCCCGCAGAACCGCCCCAGGGCTCCCTCCATGCAGCCATCCTGTGCCGCCAGCTACCAAACCCTTTCCGGGCTGCTCAGCAAAGCCGCTGCCTTTCGGATCCCTGCAACCTGGTCCCAGCTGGGCTACAGTTTCCTGGGCTCTGCCACATCTTCTCAGCCCCCTGTCTGCTTAATGCCAACTGCTGCACCTCTGGCCAGATGTTACCTGCTCCTCACACCCACCGTCCCCATCACTTGTCTGAACGCTCTCTTGTATGAATGAGCTCAGACGCTGCTGTCAGGACCGGGGGATGAGCAACGCCCTGCTGTTCCTTTCATCTAAGCCACCTTTGCTCATTTTATTTACATGAGCAGCTGCACTGGCAGATTTTTGGGAGGATTTGGGGGATCTTGGCGATGAGCAGTCTGCAGCAGAGATCTCTCCACTGGACCACTGCAGCCGCAGGAGGGTGTGTCTTTAAAACTTTGAGCATCCTCCTAGCTCTGCCTTCGGTCCAGTTATTAAAATAATTTCCAAAAAATCAGTGTTACATAATGTTGTGCAAGTCAAGCTGCTTATTTCTTTGCTCAGCTTCTTGGATCATGCTGAGATAACGTGCATATGCTTTTGGGGCAGAGACCAGCGTGTATTTTAAGAGATGCTTTAGGATCAAGACAGTCACCACTAGCTCGTCACATTTGCTGTTCAGGATTATTGGGCCACAAGTGACCTTTCAGATTCTTAAGACTTGGATTATGAAGGGCTTTATATACTAAACCTAATGACCTGAGTTATAGCCTTAGCATCCTGACAATCAGAACAGGACTATAAGCATTTTACTTTCTTCTATCCACAAACCAGCTTGGGACGGATTTTGAATCCATTTCAAGGGTATGTCAAAGCTGTGCCCGTTATAATGTTGAGTTGCAAGAAAGATCAGATGACCCAGGTAAAGGTCACGTCTGAAGGAAATGGCAGGATTTTCTAGATAAGCCAACTGAGACATCTGTCTTCCTTCCTCTGAGATAATTATTTTCTCATTTCCAAATATTAAAAAAATCACTCTGAAATGGCACATTTTAATCTGTGGGGCTGCAATAGCAGGACACAGTATTTTGCCATTTTCAAATCTCCGCAGCAAGTTTTGTGGGACCAATAATTATTTTCCTGTAACTGGCTGAACTGGAAATACCTTTCAGCTCTCAAACCACCCCCCCCAGGTATCAGCAACTTACAGGGCACCTGGTCTCAAGGCATGCATGCTGTCATTGCCATTTTCAATCAGCATTTACACAGTTCGATGTTACAGTGAAATGAGCTTCCTGTTTAAAATGCCTCAAGCTTGTGCTCTCCATTACCTGTGTCCAGTTGCCCTTTGCCAGGACGGACGCTGGAGCCCGCAGAGCATCCTCCAAAGCGCTCCTGCAGATGATTCAAAACACCAGTGGCTTGCAGCCGTATCGCAGGTCAAAAGTTTAATTTGACCATTAAAGCAATTTTATGAGGTATACAAGACCCGCAGCAGTGATGCAAATAAAGGTTGACTGATGCATTCTGCTGGCTGAAACGCCGTTCTGTTAGCAAGGAAGGGGAACATCGGCACAAGCGGAGCAGAAAGGCGTGCAGGACGTGCTGTTTGCAGAAGGACGGCATTTGTCGCATTCCCTTCGTGCCTCTCTTGGAGTAGCAACCATCTGTAACACTCCTGTAGGGAACAGCATAAACCAGGGCTCACCTGCCACGCTTTCATCTTCGAGCGGGACCCCCCAAAAAACCCCAAACAAAAATGAACTGAGACACTCTGTCTGCTCCGTGTTAACAGGGCAATTCAACAAGACTCAGTATTCTCTCATTAAACAACGTCAAAGATGTACTCTTGATCTCTGTGGTGACTTTTTTCTTTCTCCCTTTGTCCAAAGACAGCTGAAATAATAATAAAAGGATTTAGAAAACAAAGGGGAAACCCCTGGGGTTTTTTTTTTAGAGATCCAATGAATATTTTCTAGGACTGAACCAATCTGTGGAAAGAACCGTCAAGTTCGCTGTAGTTTTCCTTCCAAACACTGTGCTCCGCACTTGGCAGTTGTAGCTGTTCAAAAGAAAGGGAATACCATATAATCAAGGGCCGAGAGCTATTCCATGCCATCGTGCTGCACAGGTGATCATCTCTGAATGAGGTTTATTTAAATATCACAGACTCCGGATCCAGACAGCTACACCTCACCTGTTTCGAAATAAAAGTTACGTAACTTCTGCATTTCTTAACCTTGATGAGCTGTTTTCTTCCTCATCTTTGCTAATTCCCTCAGCTGAACTTTTCTGCCTATCTGTTAAAGCGAGTTATAATCTGCTCAGGAGCTTGTATGGGAAGGAGAGAAGGATGCTGGTGCAATATTCGTAATGCAACCGTCTGCTCACTGCAGATTTTCCATCTCTGAGATGAAACAGCATTATTAAAACCACTGGAAATTAAAATTATCTAACATCATTGTTTCTACGAGCCGCATTTCACCGTGACCGTACCTTCATACCCTTCAAACCACCACAGCCAACTGCATGAGGGGTGGCGTGGTCTCATTAGCAACTCACTAATTTGGCCAGAAAGTGCTCATTTACATGAAGGCACAGCCTAGAGAGCAATCCTCCCGGAGGTGATAGCGTCTGGAAACCCAAAACAAGGAGCAAGGGGAGGTAAATGCACAGACCGAATGCTGGAAAGCACCGACGCACATTTCCCTAGCCAAACAAGAGGCGGATGCTCATGAGCGTTAGCAGAGCACTGATGACCTTTTGTGCGAAGGTTTCTTTTTAGTCATCTAAGGCAGTTTTAAAAGTGCTTGAATGATCTCTGCCACCTCCCCCGATGCCTACAAGTCACACACGCTGTGGGGTGAGGCTCAGACCGGCATCTCTTCCAAGCAAAAGCACCGCTACACATCCAGATGTAAGGGCTGAATTTGCTTGATGAGACATCTCCCCAGGGAAGAGCTGATGGGGACTGAACCCAGAGTCATCTTGGGAAGGAGTTTGGGTTGAATTTTAAGGATAATTCAGTTCTTATGGACCATGATATATTGAGACCTTTAAATTCCCCATGACTTCTGCTATCCTAGCTGAAGTGACAAGCACCAGAAAGCACTTTTTCACAAGAAGATGGATAGTGGAAGCAGATCATTGGGTGCATGGAGATGGTGTGAGTAGAGCTGAGGGCCTAGAAGGGGAGTGTGAGGACTTGCTGCTGGTGAATGCTCCTGCTTACAACAGGCACTGGACGCTTCCAAAAAATTTTGGTAAGGGTTACCAAGGAACAGGCGTACTGACCTGAAAGGCATCATAGCCTACAAAGGGAGGACGGGTACAGGCAGGGCTGTGCAGTCGAACTGGAAATCCGCATTGCCTTCTGCGGCCCTCAAAGCTGCCACTGAAACGGGAGAATTTGGCTTGGGCACAGGCTTCAGATTCATCATGGACAGCACCTCGCGTTGAGCACGATCAGGAGGAGGAGAAGGTAATTTCTGTGATCCTGTGCAGTTTGCAGGACGCAAAAGAAAACTCGAGCACTACGTCCCTGCTGATTGCTTCGCTAACTGAACCAGAGCAGGCGTCTCCTTCGTGGGACTGGAAGCGACCTGCAGGCAGGCGCGGTGGGGTGAAAACGCTTCGTACTTCTGGGGCGAGTTTCAATTTCATCCACAGTAACTTCAACAGCTTTTCCATCACCCATTTTATTGCAATAAGCAGCAGATCGTGGCCAGGGGACTGCGGCCGTCCAGGTTACAGGCTGCTTGCAATGCACGGGCACTCATCGTGAGAAGGGACTGGAGGTCCTTCCCGGGGCTGAGACACCACCAGTGCAGCAAACTGGTTTGATGCTGCCGATGAGCATGCTCAGACACTGGAACTTCACCCAGATTTCGCCTGTTTAACACCCACAGTTTGTACAGAGGGCCCTCCTTACAGTCAGGCCTGGGATTTTCAGCCAGTTTGCCCCCGAGCAGTAACCACAAGTAAGGGTTCAGGGAAGCTCCATATTTATTCTTTCTGGCGTACCATAGTGCCCCGTTAAACAAGGACAAAAGATTTCCTTATGCAATAGGGATGCTATTTGTTATTTTTAACCTGATGGCAGCCAGAATTCGTGCCAGGTGGCATTTTGCCTTAACCAGGCAACTTCAGGAGGCTGCATTCCCGGCGGTCATCCTCGCCCGCTGGTATGCTGGGTGCCCATACATGGTTTCTTGGCTGTCTGTCGTCGTGTCTATCTGCTAGCATATATTTGTGACAGCTCACGGAAATACCGGTCTTATTTAACAAGATAATTCAGGGTGCTGGTCGGTCATTCCCAGGATCCTAAGGAATTTCGGCTTCTACTATCTGTGTGAAATCCATTAAGTCTATTTACACGTATCTATGCTACCAGAGAAACACTACGGCTGTAGCTTAAGCTTTCAATGTGCCAAAATAGCTTTAAAACAGTTTGTTTAGTCAAATTAAGCCCACAGAAAGTAGACAAATAAAATGTTTGCAACTCTCAGCAGCCCAAGACTGAAAATGGGCGCCAAGGCCAAGGGAGGCATTAAGCTGAGCGTCCCAAGCCGCTGAGATCCTGCAGCCTCATGTCTCAAAGTGCTCCACAGACAAACGCTGCTTTCACTTGGCAAGTTCCATAAGCAGCATCGTTGTACCCGATTTGGGCAATTTCATGGAGCTTAGGAAAGTCTGGCTGATACAAAGGATGCTGCCAAAGCCTGGTGTAGCTCTGGACCAGTCCAGGGAAACACTGCATGAACATCCTTCTTCGGGTCCAAAGGAGCTCAACAGCAAATGATGATTTGCACAGTGTCATAGCTCGCTCTAGCTCCTAATAAAGCAAGTGAGAGCGACAGATCCTGTGTCCCAGGGCTTGCAATTTTATAAATACACGTAGGACCATGAGGAGAATAGATTTAAGTTCTCACAGCAAAAGGCTACATGATATTTCAATTAGCAGCAAACCTCCTTTAAAAAATCTGAATAACTAAAGCTAACAGGAAATGTAATTCCACCTTCCCATGAATAGAAGGGTAACTGGTAATCTTTAATTACGTACCCACATAATTTAGGGGTTTTTTGCTTGTTTGCTTCTAACACAATCCCCGCTCATTCAGTCTCCAGGCTGGAGGCGCAGCAGTAGAATTTGAATTCTTCTGGCCATTTATATACATGTGACATTTCTTGACCATTAAGCATTTGATTTTGAAACCCATTTAACTTTTTGACGTAGGTGTTTTCGTGGGTTTTGTTGGGGAATGCCAAAAATGTTCTGCATGGCGGGGGGGAATCAGTAAGAGCAACTGTATGACTGCTCTGTTCTTAACCAAAGGGCTCTCCCTCTGTGTCTGCAACAGCAGCCAAACTTTCTTAGTAGCACAAGCTTCTTATTCAGCTTTGTTTTGACAAAGAAAGATAAACCACTGTTTTGCCTTGCCCTTCCCCCACTATTTACTCATTAGTTTCATTTAGTTTGGTATTCTCTGCTCCTTGTAGGAGAAAATAATATTTAAAAAAAAATAAATTCTTTTTTACCATATTAAGTTGTTGACCATGCATGTTCTTATGAAGAATTTAAAATAGAATGTAATCATAAATCACTGCTAAAATGAGCTTGTCCTGCAAAGGCAAGGACATTTACTTGTGTCCTTGTATGACTGGAATCACTGTAAACAACTAATATTCTTATTTGCGGGGACAGAAATAACGAGCTCATTCAGCGGTGCAGAAAGGAAGACATAAAAGGAAACCAAGGACTAAACCAGAATAAGCCACTGGAAAGTTTTATGTCAACAAAACTGGATTTAAATTAAGTAACATCAATTCAGTATTCTGACTGTAAATGAATCAGAACATTAAAATATGTTTTAAAGGGAACATTTGTGATGAAACACCCATGACTAATTCCTATACTAAATGAACAGGAAAGTTCCTGCTTATTTCTTCTGTGCAGGATCAAGTCCACACAGCAAAGTTATTTCTCTAGCTTTAGTACTACTTTGTAGACCTAAATTTTGAAAATGAGAATAGCAGCAGAACTGCAGGGAGAACACCGAATAAATGACTTACCAGTGATACACACCGGAAAGTACGGAACTGATGACAGTTAGAGGTCGCATCATACTACATTCACGTGAAGGAGTAGAATGAAAATTACACAGACAATTTCCACTCTTATGTTTTCTAATTTTCTGAGTGCTTGACTTGGTAACTTAAATCTCTTTGATGATTGTTTTTTTCTGACACCGATTTGCAGAAATGCAACAACTTCAACGTTCGTTACTTCGCCTTACTCAGTGGCAAAAGTTTAAAAAAACTCCAACAAAATAAACCCAAGCTCAAACCAACGAAGTACATTTCTAAGCTATTTGAAATGATGGGAGATGAGTCAAGCGTCACCCTGCTTTAAAATCAATAGAAACACAGCAGAGCTATTCTCCAGGGAGAGGAAATAAGGAAATAAACTACACGTTCAACAGCTACGATACACCCTTTCCAAATAAGAACACAGAATTCATTTACCCGGTAATCTTACCACAGTGATAACAAATTAAAATTGTGGGCAGGCGGCAGAGAACCAAGATGATATACAATCCCTGGAAAGGATCAGCCAAATTAAAGGGAACTTCTTACATTGTCAAATTTTGAGTAATTAGAACTTCCATTAGAGGCACAGCTCCAGCTTTAAGCAATTCTAAGTAATTAATGTTCCTTTATTTTGCCTAGAAGTCCTGACTTCAGCATTCTCTTAGGATAGAAATTCTTCTAGCCAGAGCCACACAATACAGATTAACTCAACTAGAAGACAATTAGAGTAGGCAGATGAAGATGCAATTTGTCAGTCTGTACACACTGTTACTTCTAGCCTTGGACGCAGTTTTTATTAACACAGCAGACTGATTTAAATGGAGGCAGAGACACAATTTTGTGCTATCTGTATCCATATGATTGCCTAAGCTACAAGCAATGCTGAGATTTGAAAATTCTACATGACCAAATGACCAAACAAAGTGCATGAAGTGACAGATTGTATCTCCTGTACAGCTCTGACCAGGTACAGGAATTCAGTAACTGATTATACACTTAATAATTTAAAATGCATCGTTCAAAATATATGGTGAAGGAAATCTTGCTACACTTATTCATCACCCAGTGTAAAACCTTAAATTAAAAGCCAAGCTGAGCAGGAAGCAGAAGCTGGCCTGGTGGCTAGCATATGGAAAAGATGGAATCTGATTGCATTTGCATGCTGTGTTGGGTCAGCTGCCTGGGTCCTCACAATCTTGTCTTTAAAATGGGCCTAGCAATACGTATCTCCCAAAAATGTGTTTGGTTTTGTGTCTGGTGAGTGTTTTGAAGAGGACTTGTTTGCCAATCAGCTGAAGATTCTTGAAGAAAAGGGGCAAAATAAAAAGCGAGATGTAATTAAACGTCCTTTCCTATTTGCACTTATCAAGTATATGACAACACTTTAACTATTTCATACTGAGCTTTGAAACCCAAGACACACAGTAACAATACAAAGCAGAAGTTTTACAAGCCTTTTACACAATTTCCAGACACCACTGATCCTTGAACAGTACCACACACCAAGAGACATGGGGCAGAAAGCATCATACTTCACTTTCTTTACCAAACACAGCCATAGCAACAATTACCTTAGTTTTCAGCTTCTGAATTTTCCATAACTGCAAGAAGCAGAGGCCAAAGACCATGTCCTTCACCCCATAATTGGTAGCACTGCAGGGAAAGCTGGAGCTGCAGCTGAGGAAGCGGAGTGCAGAGCAGGACCTCCCTCGCGGAGGGCTATTACCGCACTGGTGAGAGGCTCGAGCTGTTCTTTTCCAAATGTTATTTTTCACATGGACTCCAGATCGGCAGGCCTTATGTGCTTTTAATATTCATTGATAGAAAAAGAAATATGACATTCTTGATCTACAAAGCCTCCCTTCTCATAGATTTGCATATGGCCAGCACCAAGGTCCAAGAAAGGCAAATCTTGCCAAATCTGTCAAAATCATCAAAGGTTCACATCTTTTTGCCCGGATCTTACCTTTACAATCCCTTTTACAAGTCTCTTTCAAAATATGGTTCCAATGTGTTTGTGCTTTTAAGCTACAAGGTATATTGAGTGCACAGTGAGGACCTACATTTCTGTGTGACAGAGAAACCTAAAGTGGTGATTTTCAAATATCTAAGGGAGAACACAGAGTCTTCTCTGACACCAAAAATGCAATCAAAGTCACAGAAAGACACTGAAGACTTCATCCCTGAGAAATTCTTACTTTTCCTGATGGAAAGAAAAAAAGTGTCAGCTTCTGCTTGGAGTGACAATAGTCCTTCTCAGCTGCGTATTCTCAGACATAAAATATAAGAACCAAAGATCTTTCACTAGTTCTCTTAACGCCAGTATCGCTTCTTTTTATTACAGACACTTTTCACCAACTTTTGCACCGGAAGCTCAGTTTTATACAGCTTTGGGCCTCAGAAAGACTTCGCCACTGCATGCATCTCCTGCAGCCCCCATCCAACTGTCACCCCATGGTACAGGACCAGCACTGATGGTGCTGGTATAGCACCAGCTGCTGATGAACCACCAGCAGCTCAATGGAGAGGGCTGCTGCTGCATACTGCTCGCTGTTGTGTTAAGCTCCATTGCAGATTACTGTGTTAGAGCAGGGCATACTGGTCTCAATTTTTTTTTTGGCTGCAAACATCATCTTCAAGACGTCAAAAAGCATAATTTATTTGTTACTGGCAATATATTTCATACTTTTAAAGATTTGTAGTAATCCATGACTGTGAAGGCTGTCGAAACCACTCAAATGCTTCTTATTGAAAAATTAGGCCTGCATATCCATAGATCCTCCCCTCCTTCACCCATCCAAATTAAAGCCGTAATTCCCAAAGACAGCCACTCTTCTAAAACACTACACATCTCATATAGTTGTTATTAATAAAGTATGAACAATGTTTGCAGAAACATTAAAGAATCAGGTTACGAACGCTGTCTGAACACAAGTGTTATTAAATCAGCCGATCATCCAACTTTTGAGTAATTAATGTCCTCGGTTTTTACTTGAAAGCCTCGTTTTCAGCGCGTTCATAGGAGACAAATGTCCCACGTCAAAGCAAATGAACACAAATTAACTCTTTTGGATGCCAATTACAAGAAAAAGATGCAAATGCAGCATTGGCAGGCTAGATACAGAATGTTGCAGCACAGCACTTCTCATTGTAGGCTAAGTTTAGGTACAATCAGATGATTTCACTACATATGGTCAAAGGATTTGATCTGTTCCCATCTGTGCATTATCTGAATATCTAAACAATTGCCATAAAGCATTTGAAAACCTTAAAATATAAAAGGAAAACTACCAAAGCTGATGGTATCTCCAGATCACTGCATGAAGTACTAACAAGCAACTGTGTTATACAACCAGTGTTCAACAGACTGAAAACGATCTTTCCCAAATCCAAATGACATACTTCTAAAGCTGAAAGTGATAGATTACAGCTGGCTGAGCAAGCACTGTACTGTACGCTCATTTTAAAAGCCACCATTGTAAAAGACCCTCCAGGCTTTTCGTTGGTTCCTTTGCTCTTCTTATTAAGAACTGCAAAGCTCTTCTTATTTAACAGTAATTACATGGGGAGGTGGAGAAAAACTAACAAGAGAGGTTTATTTTTCTAAAGATATGCAGTACATTATTTTTAATCAAAATAGCATGTCTATGGAACAAATATGGTATTTTTATTTCAAATAAAAACATGATAAATATTTGCAACTGGAAACAATTATGAGTACAAAATCTGAAAATTTAATTTTAGGATTCTTATTAGAAAATATGTCTTTACAACTAATTTATAGTATCTGTATAACACATCCTACCCTTCTCTCCACCAGACAACCATTAAGACACAAAAATACCCTCAGGACAGCAGTTGCAGAACTTGTCGTATGCGCTCGCACTTCTCCAGCAGGTTTGGGTCTTCTGCATTGGAACCATCAAATTCCTTCATAAAAGCTTCAGCTTTCTGCACAGTTAAGTCTCGCGCACTACCTTGAAGGCCTTGCAGATAATCCAGTAGAATTGTGAAATACTTGTCTGGAACCTTTAAAGAAGAAAACAAGGAAGCAATAAAACCTGCTTTATTTTCTTCTCTCTCAGTACTCATTCACAATCTTGTCAACCCATCACCTGAAAGATAATTAGGGGAACTGCATGGGCTTTTGTGTTTGCCAATGCCCACCTCTGAGGGGAAGTGTTTCTTGCCAAGGTTCAAGCTGCCGGGAGGGATGGACCATGGCGAGAGGACTGTCATGTGCTCAGATGGGCAAAGCATCTGAGAGGAAATTCTAAGCAGATGTGAAAATGCTGATCAGCAACTGCAAACACTCCCTTGACAGTGAGCTCAAGGCTGCGAGGGTTATTGGGAGGAAAAGAACCACTAGTCAAATCCTGCTTTTGGAAATACGTATGCAAACCTTGCTAAATTCAGTGAGAACTGCATGCACAAGTATGAGGAAAGAATTTTGCTGGAATTACCCTTACCCCTACCCAAAATTATTTGTTTGCTAAGATGAGATATGCACCATCAAGCACTTTGAGACAATGCTTATACAAAGGAATAGAACTTGAAAAACAAATTGAATTCAGACATAAGGAAATACTTTTAGATCAAGCTGACTACAACTGATACGCTCTACTGACGTGTCTGACATTAAAAGCAGTTTAGTCACCTACAGTTGCATTACCGCCATTTCACTCCCTTTCTAATTAACCAGTCATAGGTTAAATTTGAGCTTATCTGGTACAACATAGAATTCAAATGATCATTACATTAAATAATCTTGGCAACAACCTAGCAAAGACTTCTGAATGATTTATTTAGCATTTCAAACCAATGTATTTTCAAAAGCATTAGGTGAACAGATCGACATTGAAGCAGATCTTAACTTTATGTTGTGTATCTGTGGAACAGGTTTCAGCCAATAAGGGAATATTTTTGCTGTGAATCAGGAGATGTGAAAATGACCTAATCCTGCAAATATTTTTCTCCATGTTTAACTTTACACATGTAACTTTAAAAGGCATACTTGACATGAGTCAAGTTAAACACATACGCAAGTATTTAAAGGACTGGAGACTAATTATTCGAGGGCTGTTTCTATTCTGCAAAGTATCAACATTTCAGAGAAGACAGAGCTTCAACAGATACTTAATTTACAACTTATTTCTCCATCGACATTTGGCAGCATAACTTTGATCACTAAAACTTCTATCACTCCAAAAGAAGAGGAAGAAAGAATATTCCAACACTGCCTTCATCAATCAGGGATATTACAAAGTAATAAATCAAAACTGAAGTCTGCATTCAGCCTCATAGCTTATATATGGAAAACCTTCTAATTCTTCACACAAACACTCTTGTGCTAAAGAAACAATACAGATACAAAAAAATATTAATTTTACAGTGACTAACACTGAAATGGATGATATATGAAGTGCTGCTATAATATACAAATCAAACACGTTTAAACACAATAATAAATGTCTGCATTTTTGAAAGCTTCTTACTCACAATAAACTGGTACTAATAACACGACAAAAACATTCAGACACAAACAATTTCAGCATGGCAGTGCTCCTTTAACGCAGATGCTCACTACCAGGTTTTTAAAGCTCAGCAACATTTCTATGCTTCAAACCTTAGCCAAATCATCTATATAATTTACACCTCTTGTTCCCAGACCTCGTGGTATAGTCATACCCCACTCTGCGGAATTACAGTTATTATTATACCATTTAAGCAAAGTGTTTGAAGAGGCAATTAAAAGCCTACTCTAAACTTAGAAATACTATGTGTGCAGACAGATATGTGGCTGCCTGAAGCCTAGAAAGCATTTAGCATTTGGCCCTAAGGATAACTGCTTGAGTGTGCAAAGAGTCTGATTTTTTTTCTTTAATACAGCTACTAGGTTTATTTCAGCAGGCGCTTACAATACATATCATGTAGGCAAGAGAATGTATTTTTCCTCCTAACTTACACTTAAAATAGAGCCATAGCAACAACTAGACAACAGGACATAAAAAGTGCCAGCAAAAAGTTAATGAAATCCAAATTTTAATTCTTAAAATACAGTAGCACACGAGCTAAAATTTCAGAGATACTTGGCGAGGTTTTACAAGGAGGAACACAATCCTTCCCTACGATCAGCCTGAAATTGGATATCAAGATCTCCCATCACGCCTCTAGCAAGTGGAAGTGATGCTTATGGGTTTTTATTATTATTCTTTTCTTAAACTCTTTTGACCTTTTTCTCCCTCACACACCAACCTTGCCTCTGTTCTAACGAGCTAATATGCACTGGAGCTGACTAATATGGAAACATCCCAAAGTGAAATAATTACCATCATTGGGAAAAAGGGAGGAAACACTACAAAATAGTAAAAGGGAAAGAACAGTTATCACTTTTAAAATTATACCATGTAACTCAAGAGTTTCCAGACTTTTTAGACTTGCAGATGCCCATAAATTTACAAAGCAAATACAGATATCTGCAGCGTGAACTTCAGCGTTCTGCCACCAAGCTTGCTTTTCTCAGATACCTCCTGAGGAAGCTTCAAAAACCCCTCCAGGGCCTTGCAGTCCAGAAGCTGAAGACAGCTGATATAGTTACTTTCTAAAAATGCTGTGTCAGATGACAAAGACCAACAAATGATCTAGTGTTTATTTTATACTGGATCCTGAAGAAGTATATATGCCGTAGGTATACAGGCTTGGGTTGGAAGCTGTCAGCCAACCACCAGATGGACTTTAAGGGGACTTAAAAAAAATACTCATGTTGCAAAAGACTTTAAAACCTCAGCTTTTTTCTTACAGAAAGAGGCCTATCAGTACAGGAAATTCAATTCACTCCTTTGCCTGCCTTTTCAGTAGGCATCCAAATGACACCATGAGATCAAAGATGTGGCTTAGGAAGGAAGGAAACTCATGTCTCCTTTTGTATTTTAGTCATGCTTGGATATCCAACGGATTTAATTCTGTAATGTACAGGAAGTTGAATTTGGGTATAAAAATATATTCAGAAGAAGCTCTTCTGCCCTCCCTACAGTCCCGATGAAGAAAGAGACTTCATCATATGCTTAATTATAAGCACTTCAGCAGTTCTAACTTTACTGAATCTGGATGCAGATGTTAATCATTATCTAAAGCTCATATTCAATGCATCTCTGATTATTAAACTACAAAATATGTTAATTTAAATAAGTCATAGCACTTTCATCAGATTTTAAAAAAAAAAATGAAGTTTTATTTCAGCATTGAGAAATAAGGAGTTAAGCTGTGTTTTGATACATAAAACAAATAGCACTTACAGTTAATTATTTCCCAGTATATTTCAACACAACCCCCAAAGTAAACAGGTAAAGAGTAAAAAACATCATTCTGCCTGTAAAACAATTTCTAGGCAGCTTTAAAGAGCATAACATTGATTTTGGAAGGCTGATAAAGACTTTTAAAGGAGAAACTTAAAAATAGAAGACAGTGCAAATACCCTAGATATCTACAAGCAAATTTGTATTCTGCAACTAATCTTTTTAAAGTATTGCACTGCGTGAACATTTTTGCTTTCATGAAACTCTGCTTTTAATTATCTGGTTCTCTAGAAGTATTTTTAATCATAAAGGTAACACCCTATGTCAGGTGATTGGCTTAAGAGCTGCTGAGTAATTTGGGTCAGGAAGACTGGTATGCTTAAATGCTTAAGTGCACACAAAAAATCAGCAAAAACTAACTGAACGTTGACTAAATGAATCAATAAGTAAAGCACTGTGCAAATGGCTGGATGTTTGTTCTACTACACAACAAAATGAATGACCTGAAACCCCCATTCAATACCACAATGGTCAGACGCTTATTGGAAATTCAATCTATGTTGGTTTTTTAAGTTATGAAATGAATGGATTTCAGTAATGATGCAAGCCTAGCTTCTGGTTATACTTTATGTTTTTTAAAATCAACATCAGGTTTCACTTATATTTTAATGAGAAAGCTATTTTAACATCTTGGCAATATGGCTGTACATCTTATATTGAGGCAGAGATATCTGAAGCAATGTAAGAATCATGGTTTACAGTATTGGGTTCCACATTTAGAACTTCAAATTAAGGACAGGACTCAAATTCTCTTTATATAAAATATTAATCTGCTCTATTTATGCTTGACATATATCAAATATAAAAATCTAGCATACACAGGAAAATTATCAACAATAAAATAGAAATACTAATTACAAGCAATTAAAATGATTCAGCATTTTGGTTAAAACCAAAGTAACTGATTCATAAATTATTAAAAAATTATTATAAAAGTGCATGGCTAGTACCAGCAACTTTTGGTTAATAAAGAACAGCTATAACTATTGTATAAAACTTTGTGTCATATTTGTTAAGAGAAAAAGCAGCGTTAATACAAACCTTCTCTTTATCATACATGTTCCAGAGAAGCCAGGTTTGTCTTTTCTTTTGAAACTTCCATTCTTCTGGGTTTTCAGACCAGCTGTAGTAAAAAAAAAAAAAAAAAAAAAGCTTAAATGAAGTACTGTGTGATTGAAACATTCATTATTCATAAAATATTTCCTACAATTACTCCAAGTGACTTTGTATGCACAACATGGAGTTTTATGACATTGTGTGAAAGAGATAGTAGCACGCATTTTGTACAAGTGGCAAAAAAGAACACAGGAACGGCTACCTGGCTTCTCTGCAAAAAGATTATAGGAAGACATTATGGCCAAGAATGTTATGACTTTTCATCAGAAAGCACCAATTCTTTAATGTTAAAAGTCCAGTCCCACCCCTCAGCTTTGACCAGTCCTCTATGAGAGGTCATTGCCCTCATTTGACCCACAACAACAGAGCACCCTAAATCCTTACCCCAGCTGCAGGACCACCTGAGTATTTGGGGAGGTGGAGTGGATGAGGAATCAAGTCTTGGTTTCAGAAAGCTGATGTTTCACAATAAATTCATATGAAATTAAGCAGTCTCTAAAGGACTGGAAGGAGCGACTCATGCTACAACGGTCACCTCAGCAATGGCTGAAGCCCATCACAGATGACTGTTCCACAGCTGAGAAAATTCATTCTTCAGGAGCATATGTTTTAAGGCTTGGATTTGTCTAAAGGTGTGACTTAAATATTGATGTTTACAGGATAGAAAAATGTTTTTTATGTCTCGCTCTCCCCCAGGAATTCTGATTCCAATATTTAGCTCAACTTCAGGCTACTTCAATACTGCTTAAACTGAGCGGGTAGAACAAATGATTAACATCTGCAAATGTTCTTTGACTATTTAGCAAATGCATTTTAAATATGCGAAATTTTAGCTGGGTTAAAACTGCACATTTATGCACGTCATGAACATTATTTTAAAGCTAGCATATTATGTTTTAGATGAAGAAAGAGACATTTATCTCTATGAACAAATGAGCAAACGAGCAAATCTCACTATAAAATAAAGACTGCTTTTTGAAAGGATCTACTTGAAAATTAGCATCTTAACATGTACAAAATTTGTCAGTACACTGAAATATCATTTAAAGATCCAGAAGAAAATATATGAGGAGAAAAACCAGAAAATTTTACACTTATTTTTCTCTAAAGAAAAACACGTCTCAGAGGGTAGCATGCAAGATGTTCCAGCTTGTTTTACACAGCAACAGAGAGCACAGAAATCAATTGAAAAGCCAGCTGGGTATGAGAATTAGTATTGTTTAAACACTGTCAAGTCTAATAAAGCAAAAGAGTCTTCATATTTGGTGAATGCTGCCCCAGCAAATACATTGTTCAGTCAATTCAATGAAATAGAAAAAAACAAGACCACAAATTTGTACAGAAGGGTTTCATGGAAGCTTCTGCAGAAAACCCAAAAGAAAAAAAATATTGTCTTGATTTTCAAATTCAGGATAAACAAAAAGCAGCAATACCTCATTACAGTTATCCCTAGCGAAATTCAATTAAAATGTCTATAAGCAACATATAAGGTAAATATCAAACAGATATCAGTAAACCAGGAAGGATGGACAAAACACTAATAACCACAATATATCATATTTTACATGCTCAAAATTACATCCACAAATGAGCTGATTTAGAGGTCTCTTTTGGGACACTGTCAATGAATAAGTAAAAGTTTGCAGAACAAATACTGCACAAGGACAGGAGCCCAAAAGCTGACTGCCAACAGTTACAGAATCAAATTAAAAATATTATGATGGGGCAACCATCCTTCTCCCATCATAACCAAACTAGAAACCAAAGTACTTGCAATATAAAGATCATTCAACGCCTGGTGTCACTTGCCTTCACAGCAAGATGCTCAACAGGACGACAACCATCAGAACTACACCACCTGTGATGCCAACAGAATGAAGTAAAAAAGGCTTTTCTTGTGGGTGTAGTTGGTGGGGCAAACTACTTGCTCATTTGTACCCAATTTCTCTGTTTGCCAGACAAACACAGTAGCTTCTAACTGAGAAACTGGAACTTCTGCAGGAAGTGACTGAACTTCTATTACTCCTTAAAAAAAGAAGATGACAATAATGGTGCTTGCTGTTAAATGAAACCCATTATTTTATAAAGCTCATCCTTCTGAATGGTTACCTGGAAGATGTTATAGGAAATACTGTGTATTTTCACAGCACGAAGAAGAAGGTAAGTTTAAAATTCTTTTTATGTTAAATAAGCCTGGAAACAGTTTACGCTATAATCTTTGCAAGGTGACAAGAACAAGCTGAATGACAGATCTGCAACCGCATCCTGTGAAAACAGTCCCTCTTCTAATGAAAACCTTTAACACATGTTTTTATTTCTTTAAACTACACTATGTATTTATACATAGTTATACATTGGTTAGACACACCACACAGTACTCTGAATATTTTATTCTCTGCTAATTTTACGTTTCTGTCACTCACGCTATCACCTGAGTACTGTCAGGCATTAACTTGAAAAATACAGCCTGATTTCACTGATCTCCTATAAAGCTATAGGATGTTAAAATACCTTTATTACCTAGTTTATAAACAACTGAGACCAACAAATGAGTGCACTATAAGGTTAATTGCTCTTATTAGCCTATTACCAAAACCATATGCTCTCTGCCACACGTTAAGGCAAGCCGTCATACCCCTGCATCTAAGATCCCACACGGACTTTTGCTTTAGTGAATTCTCTTGTAGAAACAAACAAAAGTTTCAGCTGGACTTCCTGAAAGGTTTCACTCCATATACACCATAATAATTCATATAAACAACAAATACTTTAATATAATCAACCACACAAAGTATGTTTGTGCCCATTATAGTGCTGGAGCCTCGCAAACCATTTCTTTTGTTTTGCATGCTGTCCTATAATAATCAAATGCTAAATGAGTATGGTTAAAAAAGCAGTATTTTCCTTAATAGACTACGGGTGTATTCATATTTTCAGAAAATGCTCTCGTGTTTTTAACTGGTACTCTATCTACGGATGCATCAATTCCTGCTTCTGCCCCTCGAGGAAAATGGTCCTTCTCTTGACCTTAATTCCTATCAAACTGTAGCCAAAACACTCAAGATAATGGATGCACAATCTTTAAGAAACATAACGTGGCAGTTGCTCCCTTTAATTGCACCACACCCCCCCCAGCAGTTATTAAAATAAAACCTTTCCACTGATTCCTATGATGGCTTTTTTCCTACTGCTATGACAGCTTTAAAACCTATGGGAAGTCTCGCTCTTTTATCAGAGTGACATAATTAGTACATTGTTAGAAATGCTCAGCTTTTAAACTACAAAACTTAGAGCTCTGTAACACAAGAGTGGTCTGATTTTGCTGTTTATATGCAGATAAGCTTCCTTGACATAATACAGCAGTAGAAAAGGCTTTTCCTTTGAGAGATTAAATATACAGAGTAAGACCAACTACATTATAGTTTAAAAAAACCTTTTTGTAGACAATCACAATCTCTTTCCCAGTTTGAATTCATTTGGTGGCCTTTAGGAGTATCTGTGTCCAGATCTAATATAAATTATGGAATTGGATGAAAAATATACATGTATAAACCACATATTTTTCCAGTATGCCCAGGGCTAATTTCCAATATATTGTACAAACACTAATTGCCTTCTTTACACAGTTAATGTTTGAATCTTTCTTAAGAGCTCTAGCTCAATGAAAAAACACATTGGTTGACTTTAGTTAAAGAGAACTTTTATGTTTGTGCAAATGATCTTCCTAAATGCCTTTGAAATTGAAGATACAGAGGAAATGAATCAAATTAATCAAGCAGCTTAGGGAGTTTTACATTTGGGCTTTTGGTTTTTAGCATGACAGTCTCATGTAGAAAAGCTGCCTGAGATTCTCACTGGTCTATCTCATGAATGACATTTAGTCTCTACATTAAACCAATCTCACACAAATCTATTCCCAAAACATGGCTGAGTTGTACTTTCCAAGCTGCACATCACAGATGTAATTTGCCTTTAAAATCCTTACCCACCTCCCTTCTTAACACTGTGACAGAAAATAGGACATTTTCTGAGCATGGGCAGCATAAGCAGACAAACCAAAGACTACTGGTAGCATCCATGGCAGAGCACTCTCTGGGATGTCCCAGCAGAAAGGGAAGGGGAAGGGAAAGTAGTCAAATTGCTTCCAGAAGCACAGTAAGAGAAAAACATTATTGTTACAAATTGGATTCAGGAAGACAACACAATGCATCTGCTTAAAATACCGGCCAGGACAAAACACTGAAGCTGTCACAATTACAAAATAACCTTCTATATGTAGGAAAGCATTATGCTGAGGAACCAACCATTTTATTCATTCATCTGAAAAGATTATTGGGTGGAGGACAAGTCTTAAGAAACCAGGAAGAAATAAAGACGTGACTGTCGGAATGGGAAGTCGGCTCGGAGGAACAGTGGAGTCTCAATATGAGTATGGTCGCTCTCCTTTATTGCGCAGCTAACAAAAGCATATATAGGCAGAAAACAATAACATACACACACGTCACACTGTGGTTGGTAGAATGCCACTACACACACGCCTCCATCGCTACCGTGATTGGGACAGATCACCTGTCCATGCGGAGGGGCTTCTCCTTCTCTTCCGGTCATAGTTCCGCCCACATCCGCTTAAGAGCAGCGGCTGGCGAACGGGACTAAGGCGTGCTCATTCTCACTCAGCCACTCCTCCACACGTGACTGCTGAAAATCTTCCAGAAGACAGGAGAGCACTGTTTCATGTGAAATGCAAGGGCATCTGCACATAATTTTGGGCCACTGACTGCCCAGCCCACCTCTGATACACCTTCCAGCCTGGATAGCTATCCATGGTAGAGCAGACTGTCACCAAATTTAGATTTCTCCAGCAACAGCCCAGGCTTACCATCAGGGAATTAATTTGAAAGGTTTCTCCACCCCTGAGGACCAGGTCAATGTGGAGCCTCCTCTTTTGGTCCTGTGATTTACCATGAGGACCCTTATGCCTTATTCTCTCAAGCTTCACTGAATCTC